GAACAAGTCAGTTATTTTATAGAATGTCCCTCAATTTTATGCCTCCAGATTTGTTCTTTTTACTTAAGATTGCTTTGGTTATTTGGGCTCTTTTTTGATTCCAAATTAAATTTAGGATTATTTTTTCTAGATCTGTGAAATATGACACTGGTATTTCAATGGGAATTGAGTTGGATCTGTAAATCACTTTGGGCAGTATGGACATTTTAACAGTGTTGATACTACCAATCCATGAGCAGGGAATGTTTTGCCTTTTGTTTGTGCCAATCGCAATTTCTTTCATCAGTGTTTTGTAGTTTCCCTTGTTGAGGTCTTTAACCTCCTTTGTTAAGTATATTCCTAGGTATTTTACTTGCTTGGTAGTTATTGTGAATGGCATTGAGTCCTTGATTTGGCTCTCAGCTTAACTGTTAGTATATAGAAATATTACTGATTTGTGTACATTGATTTTGTAACCCGAGACTTTGCTGAATTTATTTATCAATTCCAGGAGTCTTTTGGTGGAGTCTTTAGGTTTTTCTACATACAAGATCATATCATCAGCAAGCAGGGATAGTTGGACCTCCAAAACAGCATGATACTAGTTTAAAAGTAGAGATATAGAACAAAGGAACAGAAATAAAACCATCTATCTATAACCAACTGATTTTTGACAAAGCAGATGTCAATATACACTGGGGAAAGGAAGCCCTAGGCAATAAATGGTGCTGGGAAAGTTGCATAACCATAAGCAGAATAATGAAACAGGATCCCTATCTCTTGCCATATAAAAAATTAATTCAAGATGGATAAAAGGCTTAAATGTAAGGCATAAAACTATAAAAATCCTAGAAGAAAATATAGGAAAAATTCTTTTAGACATTGTCTAGGTGAAAAATTTATGACTAGAGCCCCAAAGTCAAATATAGAAATAAAAAATAAATAAATGAAACTTAATTAAATTAAAACTTCTGCACTGCAAAGGAATTAATCAAGAGAGTGAATGGACAATCTACAGAATGGGAGAAAATATTTGCAAACTATACATCCAACAAAGGACTGATAATCAGAATCTACAAATAACTCAAACAAATCAGCAAGAAAAAAACAAACAACCCTATTAAAAAGTGGACAAAATACATGAACAGAAGTTTTCCAAAAGAAAATAGACAAATGGCCAGCAAACATGAGCAAATGCTCAACATCACTAATCATCAGGAGAATACAAATGAAAACTACAGTGAGATACTATCTTATCCCTATCAAAATGGCCATTACTAAGAAGTCAAAGGATAATAGATCCTGGCATGGATGCAGAGAGAAAGAAATATTTATACACTATTGGTGGGACTACAAATTAGTACAACCTCTATGGAAAACAGTATGGAGATTCCTCAAAGAAATAAAGGTAGACCTATAATTCAATCCAGCAATGCCATTGCTGGCTATCTTCCCAAAGAAAATGAAGTCATTTTTTTAAAAAAAGACACCTTCACTAAAATGTTTATCATAGCACAATTCATAATTGCAAAGATATGGAATCAACATAAGTGCCCTTCAACTCACAAGGGATAAAAATTATGTATATATAAATATATATATGTATATAATACATATAGTAAGTATATAGTAGTATAGAATACTACTCAGCCCTAAAAAGGAATGAAATAATGTTATTTGCAGCCACAGGGAGGGCACTGGAGACCATCATTCTAAGTGAATTATCTCAGGAAGGAAATCCAAACACCGTATGTTCTCACTAACAAGTAGGAGTTAATAGATGGGTACACATGGGCACAGAGTGATATAAAGGGCATGAGAAACCAAGAAAGGGGAAGGCTGGAGAGTGGATGTGGGGTTAAAACTTACCTATTGGGTACAATGAACACTATTCTGATGATGGACACACCAAAAGTCCTGACCTAAGCATTATGTAAGATATCCTTGTAACAAAACATTTGTACCCTCTTAATTAATATTTTGAAATAAAAACAAGAAAAGATAAATGTTTAAGGTGATGGATATCCCAATTACCCTGCTTTGATTATTACACATTATATGAATGTATCAAAATATCACATGTGCCCTGAACATATCTTTATCTATTATGTATCAGCAAAATAAATAAGCAGGAAAATCAAATTTAAAACACCTCATAATAAATACATTTACTAGAAAAAAAAAAAAGAATTTCCCTCAGTTTGAACTTGTCTGATATTTTCTCATGATTAGATTAAGGTTAGGAATTTGGATGAAGAATACCACAGAGGTCCCATGCCATTCTTGGTGTGTAGTTGATATGTCTTATTACTGGTAACATTAATTTTGATCACTTGTTTAAGATGCTATTTGCCAGGTTTTCCCACTGTAACGTTACTGTGATGAATTTTGTTAAATGTGTTTTTGGCATCTTTAGAAATGATTTTTTTCCCTTTGCTCTATTAAGGGATAAATTATATTAATGGATTTTCTAATATTGAATCACCTTTGCACTCCTGGAATAAACTTCACTGGATCATGATTCAATAGCTGTTTTCAAGTACTTTGCCACAAGCTAACCAGAAAGTCTTTTTTAGTACAATGGATTTTCAAGGTCAATGCCTAGCTCATGAAGAAGTATAATAATTTTGTTATTTAAAATAATATAATCTGGAAATCCACTTTTAAAAACCCACTACATTAGAACATGCTGTAAACACACGAATAGCACTCAGTTCCACTGTCAACCCTTCACCATTGTGGAACTCTCCCTCTGCCTTCAGTTACAAGATGTGGAGCATCTTACATCTGATCTAGGGACCAGTGAGTGTGGTAGGGACAATCTCCACATTAAATATTGGTGACACTTAACCTAATCATTTCACTACCTGCTAAAATCTCTTCTGTAGCTCACAACTCTTACTGAACTTGGCTGGTCAGCATGCAGTCTCAGCCTACCTAAAAGTAACCCTTATTTTATTACCTTCTCAACCTGCTGTCCCATCTTTACCAGCTTTAGTGTCCCACAGTCCTCCAAAAGCATCATGCCAGTCAACGATACATATCGCTTAGGTGATATCTTCTCTCCAGGATGCCTTTCCCTCCCTGCTCTACCTCACTGGCTCTTACTCATTCGGCAACATGTAGTCCAGTCATTGTTGCCTCTGATTAATCTATAGATTGTCAAATTATGAAAACATTTTTGCTGTTGTCTGGCTCCCTTACCAGACTGTAAGATCCTAGAGGGCCAAGCTTGTGTTTTACTGATGGTTAAATTCAGTTCTGAGCATAATCCTGGTACATAAAAAGTAGTATTTAATAAATGTTTCTTGAATGGACTTGAATTGAACTTGACACTTAGTAAAGGCTGGTGAATTTGATTTTATTTGATATGACGGCTTTTACAAAATCACCAATTGACTGGGAAAAAAAGCACCCCTCAAATAAGGAATATTTCTGGCATCTCTTTCACTGAACATTTGCCTTTAATTGACTAATTTAAAGCCTTCTTTTATTTGGTTATTTGCTCCAGAAAAGGCAAGTCCCTAGACAGCCAAATTCCTTTTAATTTCATTTTCAGAGTCTAGAGGAAAAAAGAAAGCTCTTTATTTATGAACCTTACAAAACATTCTTATAACATCTGATGCACAAATATTGATCCAGGAAGGTGTTACCTCCTGTGGTTACCCTGTGGGTTTCCACTTTGAATTGCCAGGGAGCTCACACTGAAATAGGAAAGTAATGTCATGTTATACGTCCTTTTTCTAATTCTTAGCCTTGAAAGTCATATACTTTTTAAGCTCACAGTTACATCTGCAGACATCTAACATCAGAAAAATAAAAAAAAAAAAAACAGTATAGTGTAAGAAAACTCCTGCCTTTTTTGAAAACATCTTTTCCGTTGGCACAGAAAAAGTTAGCCAAGTAATCTGTGAATAATTAATGACTGAAATTTAAATTGGAAAATAGTTGTATTTGTTAATAAAGAATTGTTTTACTGATTGATGACCCATTATTTCCTTCCTACAAAGTACTGCTTTGTTCTTACAATCTGCACAGTTAGCTGAGAAAAGTATAATATTTATGTTTAGAGACAAGAACAGAAGTAGCAAGAGATTTAATTTTTTATCTACTGCCAATATCAGTTTGACAACTACTTGGCCCTTGGCCAGTCATGATCAAACCCCCCATCAAGAGTGTCAAACCACTGTAAATTTATTTCCAGAAAAAAAACTGTGTTTGAATTGTTTTAGTGACATTGAAAGAAAATTTAAGAAACATTGCAATCATAGTTGCTATAAATTTAGATATATATAGTAGCTCATGGTAGAATGAAAGAATTGATCCAGTGAGGTGATTTGATACAATAAAATGTAAAATTCTATACATAATTTCAAAACTCCAGTTGCATAAAAAGATTAATAACGTGAAGGAAAGTGAGTCAACAGTTTAGCAGTAGTAAACAATGTAATATGCTTGCCCCCCTTAAAACTTTTAATTCAATTCATTGTTATTAATTAATTAATCTAGTAAACTCTCCCTTCACCACAAATGATAGGGCCTGGATTAGTGGCTGAAAACTATAGGGAACAAATTTGGATTCCATATGAGTAAATACTAATTACTGTGCCTGAAAAGCATATGCCTGCTTTGGGAAGGGATGAGGTCTGTTCATTGGAATCAAAAAACAGGTTGAGGTATGGTCTCAGAATTCTTCAGCTAAGGCAAGGTATTTTACTGAACTGTGCTTCTCAAATGAGTTTTTTAAATCTTAGAGCCCCTTAAATCTGTCTTAAATATTAATGAAGACCCTCCCCAAATCTTCTTTATATGGGTTATATCTATCAATATTTGTCATATTACAAAATAAAATTAAAAATTTTAAACTATATTATTTATTTAAACATAGCAATAGTAAATATAAACATTTTAAAAAATATATTTACATTTTTAAAAAATGTAGTGAGAAAAATGGCATTACTTCACATTTGTGCAAATTGCTTTAATATCTAGCATAACAGGAGACAGCTGGATTGTCATACCTGTTTCTGCATTCAATCTAGTCACTATCCCATGTATATAGTCTCTGGAAAAGACAGCACACTCGTGAGGAAATGAAAGTTAAAAAGGGAAATAAAGTCATCATGCTATGGTAGAAATAGTTTTCACTTATAGATCCCCTGAGAAGATAAGTGTGTCCACCAAGGGTCCTGAGAAACACTACACTAGAAGATCTCTAAGGTCTAGTGAGGCATCTGTTTCTATTCCTAGCAAGTTTCCCTCCTATTTTCAATTCCTAAACTACAATGGCATATGACTATCTGATTATTTTTTTAAAAATATAATTAAATATAAGGATAAGTAGCTTTGGTTGACTTTTACCCTCTTGGCTTTTATAATATGTAGATTTAGCCATAAAAAAGTATTTATTAATAGACATACACATGCATTTACTCATTTAAAGTTGGTAGAGTGGATTATTTCTCAAAGAAAAAACTGAGTTATATTTCTGTTTCCAAAATTTGTTAGGGATATGACCTTATTAAAGCCAATTAATCTCAGTGACTACAGACTTCACACAGTTGTTGATCAGATTAAAAAAAGATAATAATAAAGGACAAGTTTTGTTGATTCATATCATGTTTGTGTCTCTCCTAAAATGTAATAATCATTTTGTAATTTTTCAGCTAGATTTGCTATTTGCATCTTTGTGTCTTGTTACTTTTATTGTATTTTCCAAATGGCCAGTAAATACTTAGACAGTGACAAGGACCTTATATGTCTGGCACAGGGCCTAATTATACTATATCCAGAGCCCAAAGCTTTGCTTATTATAAGCACTATGAATAAAATGCAAAGTACAATTTCTGTCTTAATTGGGAGCAGTTTAAGGACAGAGACTTTTTCTAATTGTATACAATTGTATACAAAATAATGCTTGGCACAAAATAGGTGCTAACAATATATTTGTCAAATGAATGAATAAACAGATGGTAAATTAGTCAAAAAATTCATTTCTAAAATCACTATACCTGTCAATTTCTCAAATTTTGTCCTGGAATTTTCTCAATATAAATTCTACAGTCAATTTCAAAATAGTACATCCAAATAAATAGTATCTTAGTGTAAGAAGTGATTTTAAAGGATACCTGTTTTCTCAATTCAAAGATCCTCTCTACAATAACCTTTACAAATGGTCATCCACTTTCCTGTTGAAAACTAAATAATGGGGAACTCACTCCTCGTAAAGCAGCTCATGACACTTGATAAAATAGTCTTTCTTATGTTGAAAATTTATCCCATCTGTTTCCCAATGCCTAAATTTTAAGTCCCTGTTTTTTTCAGCTCTCTGCAATTCCTAAGTAGATAAAAGCATTATGAAAATAACCCCCATGCACAAATTGACTATCCTGAATCCATAAAAATAATTACTGCCTGGCTATTTCTGACCTGTCTATATTGCCATTCTGCAACCACAATAGAGGCAGGGTGAGCTATTTATGTACTCAAGGTGAGACTTGCTTCCTGTACTACCCTGTGGCCATGACTGCATACCCAACATGTTTTCTCTTCATTTCCATTCAATGCCAGCCACTGTCATCCAGTTGGAAAAACTGGATACATATAAATTTGAAGAAGAATGTGAAGAAATTGAAATGAACCTAAACAATTTTTTTTTTCTTTAGCTCTGCCATGTGACAGAGATGGGCTTAGTAAATGGGCAAAGGCATGGCTTTTGCTCTGAATTATTTCCTGGAAAAGACAAACATGTACAAAATGCATCTTTGTTTAAGTCCAGGAAGGCTTTCAGAAATATTACAGCTGCTATAAACTCAATGATTAAAAGACAGGGCTTAATTCTGATTGGAAGTATGGGGGAGAAAAAAGTTTAAGGACTGCAGAAACTGCTGCAATTCAGTGTGAATGTCAAGAAAGTAGTGACATTGATTATTAAAATAGGCATTTTTTTTTACCATTCACATAATAAATCCAATGAATTCCTATCAATTTTCACCCCACTAAAACTTCATGATTTGGCACGTTGGCTTTCTCTTCCTTCCTATTTTTTTAAATATTTCTACTATTTTGACCCTTATGTCACTTAATTCTTCTTATATTCTTCCATTTTTTATGATAGCCATGATTCCCAACACACTCAGTACCTTGAACAATGAAATTGTCTTCCCTAAATGGTCTCAATAACTAATCATAACTCTATAGTGTTTTGGGAATATCAGTAGTCTCTTTCTAGAGTATCTTTCTTTTCCTGAGCTGTCAAAGAACTGCTCCATACAAATTGGATAACATCAATTACAACATGCACAACAAATAACATTTTAGTAATGAGTTTAAATACCAATGTTCCTAAATAGTTTGTTGTCTTTTTAATAAACTATTGGCAACATATGTTTATGTCTACAATATCCTCATTCACTCACATTGCAACATGCTCTAATGAGTGGAATATAGTCTGCATAATGGAGATTACATAGAACCTCTCAGCCTGCCTCATCTTGTACCGCACAATTTGCTTTATATTTCTGAATATTTTTAGAAAAGATTCAACACTCTTGGGGATGTTGTACACATGTGTTTGGCATTTTTCATGTGTATACAGCATGGTGGCATCAATATTTACTATCTTCACAAAATGGATCTAAGCTGGAAACTCCAATATTTTCCATGGCTTGTTCATAACAGTCTTAATCAATCATACATAATGAGGATGATATAAATAATTTAGGACTAAGTTAATTTTTTGAGGGGGAGCAGATGAGGCTATGGCATAGCTGAAGCCCATTGTTTATTTTTAGCCATCTCTTCTTTTTGGTGTTCCACGTTACTAAATGTGTTTTTTAATCCTTCCTAATTCAATTAAATGAGTTATCTGTCACCTAATTAGGCAGCCAATGTCAAAAAGTCACAAACAGTCTATTTGGAGTCTTCTGCTTATTAATAGGGCTCACTTCCACCTAAATGATTTAACAGAGATAAGTCTGTAGTGGACATTTTCAGATAAAAAGTCTTTCAACAAATGAAAGAAAACAATCTGGGAAAATATGTTGTTCAAGGGTAGAATTAACTAATTGAGATTCAATTCACCTCTACCAAGACATCAAAATGCTTGCCACTGTCCATGATTGGTTGTACATATGTGATTCTATCTAGCAACAATAGTTAGACAGATTCTATAGATTTACCTTTAACAAAATGACTTTTACATTTTTCTGCATCTCTCTTTTGCCTTATGACACTGTGTAATTTAATACTTGCTAACAAAGATATAAACTTATATGATCTTTAAAATGTTTTTAAAACTATAGGATTTTAATGACAGTTAAGTTTTTAAAAGTGAAGTTTTTAAAATATTTCAATCATTAGTTTATCAGCAAAAATAATTTGCTTCTTAAATAAGCAAAATTAACTTATTTTAAATAAAAATTTTGAAAATACGCTTTTAATGTTGTCAGATTGGAAAAACTCACTTTTTCATCTGAGCACATAGGTGATAAATTATCTTTTTTTTTTTTACCCATTGACAATTACATGTGGCAAAATATGTCTCTACGTGTATATTCTAAAGTCACTTTCATGGACTGTTTGATAATGAACTAATCAATTAATTGAATGTAATAGACAGTATAATTTTCAATATAAAAGAACTATTTTAATATCCTTCATGGATTTTCTTAAACCATGAAAAATAGCACAATTCTAATATATTAAGATAGAATTTTGTGCCAGAGAGTTTTTGAAGCTGAATGTATTGTTTCTGGAAATTGATTATTACTCTGGAGCCAAATATAGTTGAGATTTGTATATGTCTACCCAGTATAACATGTACTGGAAATTTAGCCAATATATAGTTTATTTGATCAAGCTAGACAACTAATCTAGAAAATGCAGGTTCTTTAGTGTCCCATTTAGCTTGACTGTCTCCACCGATCCTATTGTGGGAGAGCTGCCAAACCTGCACTTCATTTTGTGCTGTGGAGACAGCCGTAGGAAAAATGTATGGGAGTTATTTTGTTGTGAGTTTTTAATCTTTTAAGTTTTCCACTGAAACTTGTTTCATTAAAATGGGAGAAACCTGTCAGAGAGCTGCCTCTGTAGTTTGTATTATTCCTTTAGATTCGGTGATCTGCTTTATGTATAGAATTCCCCTCATGACGGGTTATTGTGCTTTCTAAGCCATAAGCTTTTCTAGCCATGTTTTGAATTTGTGATGACATTGTTTTGGTTTAATTTGACATCTAATGTATGTTTTAGATTAGTTTGATTCTCATTTAAGGTAATATTTAATAATAGCCTGAGAATTTGAAAGTTTTTCCACCACTCATACGTAGAGTAGTTACTAGAGATGCCAATTTATGCCACACAAAAAAATGCTATTTATCCTTTCAGTGTCTGCTAATTTGTTCTTTAAAAAATGAATATTTTGACTGGAGGCAGAGTCTGTCCTTTTTCTTAGTGAAAAGTTATTTTCAAATTTTATCTTTGATCAAATTCACAAATACTTTAAAAAATGGATCAGTTTTGGTATGGTAATATTATTCTCAGGAATATGAATGTGATGCTTCATTTTGTGACAATTTCTCTGGGAGTAGGACATTATGGCATGGAAAATGGAACTTTCTGGGCTTTTTGACTCCTTTATATTCATTTGCTTTCTATTATTCAGGATTTGAGTTAAAATTAAGCTTGTCTTTTTTGGTACATTTTTTCCCTAGGCACAGGTTCTGGGCCTTTTAGATGCTAGAAGGACACAGGTTAAGGCTAAAAGCAGTTTTAGTTATAAAAAGTTTTATTAATAATAATTTGAACAATTCTCTTCTTTGCACTCCTTAACTCTTGGGGGGAATGTAAACTGAAATGTAGAGACTGATATCAGATGATTAATTCAAGGTCACACAGGGAAGCAAGAATGGGAATTGTGTGTTCTTAATAGTCTGCTAATCTTAATGAGCCTTCTCAATAGCTATGATTGATGGATTATACTTATTAAACACTTAATATCTATAGTAAATTATCCCAGAACTTGGAATTTAGAATGAAATACATGACTTTAGTCATGGTCTCTATTTTCAATATCCACAATGCTCAAAAGACAGTGATGTCCTTGATTTCCTTTGACAAAAAGTAGGCACCCAATAAATTTTTCGTATGAATAAATGAGTGTGGACAACTAAATAACAATCTTCAACAAAGTGACTTTATGTTCAATATTAACCAGAGATTAATATTTTACCCTTCAGAGATGTAACCATCAAATTCTGAATTTTGGGTGATTTTGTACCCGAACTGTAGTCTATTGAAGGGCAGTATTCTCCTCCAGAAAAACTAATGTTTAATATGACACTAAAATAAAGTCTCATGGCTTTGACTTTTCTTTGAAGCACTCAATTATCTACTTTATCTTCATCACTTCATAAAGACCAGGAAGGAAAAAGAAATTTAGGGTTTTTTCTAAGTACTTACCAGAGGTCAGCATGATGCTAGCCATCTTATAAGGTTATCTTGTTCTTGGATTACATGGTCTAAAAAGCCAACACCAATCCAACAAACCTTAGAGATAGGCGTCACTATCCCAAAATGACAAATAAAAGGAAAAGATTCAGAAAAGTCAATCTAGTCTACTTTAAGAGACAGAACTGAAAATGAAAAAGTTTGTCTAATTCCATAGCCTATGCAATTAGTATGATACTTAATAGTATTTTATAATCATGACAAACAAGCTGGTAAATTTATGGTTTCTAAGAGTTTTTGCTTTTGAAGGTAATCCTCTCTGTGGCAGTACTGCAAGTATGGCAGCTCATTATAACTGCATAAGATTCTTGCTATCAACTCTACAACTTAGTCTTCCTGTAGTGATAATGACTATTATCCATGATGTGGTGTTTATTTAACCAGTTTTGTTAAACTGAAAGGCCAAGGGTGATAATTTAATGCCATCTCTTTCTAAGACAACTATGAGAAGAAAAAGAGAATATGTTTCAAATACAAATCTAAAAGAATTAGGATAGACTAAATTACCTTTAAATATATTTACCACTCGATGTTGGATGAGATCATTCCCAGAGAAATTGTTGAAAAAGAAATAATTTAACACTTAACCTTAGATGATAAGCTAATTATTTTTCCTGTTTTTGGAGCATACTTAGGAAAGGGGAAAAATCCATAAATCCTCAAGCGACAAAGTAGGAGTTAATATTTTCAAATACTAATAGCTCCTGGAAAAATACAAAGCTACCGTGTAGCACAACTGATAGTGTCCAAACTTCAGCATCACACAAAATGCTCAGAACTGAAGTATAAAAGTTTCCATGCTCCCAGACTAAGTTGTCATAAGTCTTATCTTAAATCCCAGCTATATGCAGCTTTCCGCTGGACTGATTGAGAGGGCTGACAAAGCTGAAGGAATTTCCTGAATAAGAAAGAACAAATGGCAACTGTATTATGATACCAAAAGTGAAAAATAATTATCTTAATAGGAGCTTTGTTATTGTAAAAGATGAAAAAGTATCAAACTTGCTTTGAGCATGTTTGTGAAATTTTATTTGAATTACTAATTTCCTGGAACTCTGCTAACATAGATGACATTTGCATATAGAACATTTAAAATGTCAATACAATGCTTCACACAATTTCTTAAACATAGAGTCCTCAATAAATAATTATTGAGTAAGTAAAAGAATTATTGAATATATAAAAGAATAAAAATTAATTCAGTGATCTTATTTTCTATTAAAAAATACATTTCAGACTCTATTGTGTGGTTCTCTTAAATTCTTTTTTCCATGGGACATATTTTGAATGCTTTGCTCTCTTGTGTGGCAGAAAAGGCCCATTTTGATTTGTTTTGTTTTGTTTCTGAAGTTTGCACATGCTGAACATCTGGATGTTGTAGCATCAAAGTCGGTTGACACAGCAAGCCAATAGACACTATTTTTGCTCATAACCAAATGAGATGCATGATTGCCTTTTATCAAGCTTCTTCTTAACTCGGTGAGTAGAGTCAGTCTCTGATCAATAAATAACAAATCATCTGTTTCATAAATCAGACCTGTCAAAGCAAAGCAGCGCCTTGTGCTGGGTATACTCTTCTGTACTTACTCAGGCCTGGTAGCATCTGGTTTTTAAAAAGCGTTTCTTATGCTTTTGACAGTTGTTTGGATATTCCATTTCAGCACTGTTCAAGTTTACTAGCTATTTAGACTTACTATCTTTCGCCCCCCTTTCTTCCTTCCTCTGTACCTCTGGGCTGAGATTCTCATCTCATGTGAAGGGGAAAAACTGGAGTGGAGGGGAGAAAGTGCATAACTGGGTTTTCAGTTGCCAGTTTGATTTTCTTTAGGCAAAATCTTTGCTAAAATGACTATATTTCTTCTAACTACATAAAGTTCCCTACGACTGACATTACTGGCATGAATCAAGTGGTAATAACTCATAAATCTGCCTTATAATTTTCAAATTTTATTTCTCTTCATATAATATTATTATTAACAGGTAACATTTATTAGTACTCTTCTTGCCAGTCACTATTTTTGCATCTCAATATTAACTTTACCTTTTTAAAATTCTTATAAAAATTATAAGAATTTAAGAATCCTTTTAGTTCACGTAAAAATCTTGTGAAATAGGTGCTATTATTATCTCCACTTGAAAGATGAGAAACAGAAGTTAAATTACTTGCCCAAGTCCCTGTATATAGCATTAGAACTCAGAAAGTCAAATTCCAGAGCCCTAAATCATTGTCTTTGCATATCTACTCTTTCTATCTACTTAGAATAGTCTTCCCTCCCATCCTTTCCAATCCAAACCCAACACTTCCTCCAATGCTCAGATTATTTCCTTTAAGAAGTGATCCCACTCATTCTAGATTCATCCAATTCCTTTAACTTTTATGGGCATGATGATATATACCCAACTACATCTTATTTGCTCTTAAATTATTCCCTAGTTTATTCATGCATAAATCCCAATATACTATGTCATAAGCTTTGGGGGGCAAATACTACACTTATTAACTTCTGCAATAGCCTTGCAGTACCTAATAGAGAGCAATTAATTGAGTTTATGGTTAATAAGGGTTTATGTGACATTCGTATTTCCTATTGTTACTGTGAAAGATCTTGAACATTAAAACTAGCTTGGTTTCTTTGGAGTGTGTGATTTCTGGAATGCTTAGTGGTTTTTATTTCATATGTCAGACTTTTCAAGCATTCCTGAACTAGAGTTATATTAATGAGTTATTAAATAAAACTATTTTAACAACATTAATGCAATGGTTGAGATTGGAATTTGATGAAACATTCTACCCACACCACTAAATTTCTATTATGATGAGTGTCTAATATTATTCACCATGACTGAAGATCAGGTTTTTCTTCTTTTCCCCTTCTTTCAAGTCATTGCATACATTTTTAAGTTTCATATTCAAATATTTTAGAGATGACAGTTGAGTATCTTTTTTCCCTACTTTACTTATTCTGGACCACAAGTAAAACTCTTGCAACTATTCCAAGAGGGATGGAAATCATTTCTTTTTTCTCCACAGTGTCCATTTTTCATTTTTCTTCTTTCTATTGCATCTTTACTTATTTCTCATTTCATCCTTCATTTCATTTCTCTCCAAAACCCTTTCTTACAATACTTCCTTTCCAGAATTTGACTATAAGCATTGGGTTTGCTATTTGGATTTTACATATATATAGTAAATCTCTCTCCCCATATATAAATATATATATGTATATGTGTGTATATGTATATATATAAATCTGCCTATGTAGCTGTGTGGCTTTGGTTAAGTTATGTAGCCTTATTTTACCCCCATTTCCTGCCAAAAGTGGAGATTATAATACCCACCTAATAAGATTGTAATAGGAATTAAGCAAGATAATATGCTTAAAGCATTTACATCAAAATCTGACATATTGATATTGTAAGTATTGTAAAAGTGTTTGCTAAATGAATAACTAATGTTAATGTTGTATTGAGAATTTATTCAAAGCCTTCTATGCACTTATAAAATCTTATAAACTAAGCTTCATAATACCACCACAAAGTGATAATATTGCTTTGCATTTATTTCACAGTAAATGGCAAAGCATACATCTAAGGGGAGACTTAGAAAAATTTCTGATTTTCTCACTTTTGTTCCTCCACGTCAGTACTTTTATTGCACAATTAAAGACCTACTTTCTGAGGTTAGGGGGCAAGTCATTTTTTCTGCATAATTTTATGTAGTTTTTTCCCATCAAAACAAACAGTTCAGTTTGATAAACCTGTGTTTCTGTATTTTAGGGTGTCTGTTGCATATGAATCTTGATTCACCGAATATACTTTTGGAGTACAGATCTCAGAAGGACTTTGGGATTAAACACTGTGTATCTGTGAACTCTGACAGGCAGCTAATTGCACCTGGCACATGCTTCTTGTCTTGTTAGCTTTCTGGTTTTGGCATCATTGGAATTGTATGTCTTTTTTTCTCTTAAATTTAATCCATCTTTGGAGAACAACACAGCACAACTATTTCCTGCTACTTATTGTATTCTTTGAACTTAATTTACTTCTTATTAAATTTAGCTTCTGTCTCGTTCACTCCATTCATTTACTCCCCAAGTAATAAGTCACTTTAAGCAACATCATATTCACTGTGCTTAGATAATCAAAATGGATAGTTTCCCTTTCTAAGTCATAGATGGTTTCAGGTATTTGGTTTTTTTTTTTAATTTGGAAAACTTCAGAGTTAAAGCTGATCTCAAATGGCATTCACAGAGCAGTTTCACCAAATGACTCATGGCAGGTGCATAAATATGCACTCTCTTCATCCAGTTCAATGTGCCAGAGCCCATTTTTCTTATCACTTATAGAGAGGCTTTTCTACCGAGCCAATTTGTTCAGTGTATCTTCATTCAGTGACACCGAAATTTCCCCCCAATTGTGTGGGTCAATGTTTTTCAAAATAAAATCTTTGAATTTTTTTTATTCACCTGAATACATTTTATATTTTATCTACATTTGAAAATTTTGAAATATCTAATTAATCCCAGTAAGCTATAAAAGGACATATTATCATATTCCAGTTGTTTCAGTCATGTCACATTTGATGTTTATAAAGTCAGATTGTGAATATTTAAAAATAAAAAGTGTGAAATGTAGAATCCAGTAAAGATGCTAGAGTGGATGTTGTATGCTGAAAAAAAAATCAAAGTAAGAGATTTACATTAGGACTAGAGGTTAAAAAAAGGGTAGTACAAAGATTGCTAAATTTTTCGTCCTTTTAAGCTTTTTGGGGGGGCAGGAAGGTTGATCATAAATCTTGCAACTTCCTTTCTTGGTGTTTTAAAATTCCTTGTATATCCATATTGTGGCATTTTCTTCTCATCTCAAAGCCTCTAAATTCATCTGGTTTCTTTTCTATGTTCATTATAGAAAATTTCAAAATATGAAAAAAGTTTAAAGAATAATTTAGTAAATTCTGGGATACCAACACTAAGCTTTATACAATTTTAACATTTTTCATATTTTCTCCATATCTTTTTAAATAGATAAAACATTACAGTTATATTTGAATCTATTATATATACATCCTCAATTCCATTTCTCCTTCTTCCTTCCTCCAACATACTCATCATCTTGAATTTAGTGTATATCATTCCTATGTGTGTTTATATTTTTACCATACATTTGTGTAGCAATGATAATGTATAGTTTTGATTTGCACGTTTTCAAATTTAGATAAATTGTATCATACTTAATGTATTATTTTACAAATTAGTTTTTATTATTAAACATCTTATTTGTGAAATTTATCCATATGAATATGCACAGGTCTAATTTCTTCATTTTAATGCCTTTTTGGTATTCAATTACATACATTTACCACAGTTTATATATTCATTTTCCTGTTGAGAGACAGTTGTTTCAAATTTTGACCTTTGTATACAATGTTATAATGAATGTTCTTGTTTATATGTCCTTAAAGAAAAGCTGCAGTAAAGTATTTCTATGAATGGGGTTATTGAGTTGAAGTGTAGACTGGTTTACCTACAGATTGTCAAATTTTTCACTAACATGGTTTCCCCTTTTACATGTTTATTCTCTGGCTATGGAAGTGTACATTTCTTCATGTCTACCCATCTGTTCTTTTTTCTTTTCCAAGCTGATAAATATAATATTGTATTTTTTTAATTTGCATTATTCTAATTATAGGAGAAGGTGACTATGTCTGTGAAATGCCCTTCAAATGCTTTACTCATTTTTAAATTAGATTTGTCTTTTACTTTTGAGTTACAGAAGTACTTTATATATTCTAGATATTATTCCTTTGTTGATTAATTTGCAAGTTGTTGATATAATTTGCAAATATTTTCTCCCAGGCTATATCTTTGTTTTTGGTGCATTAATAAACACAACTTTACTTGTTGTATTCAAATATATCAATCATTTCCTTTATAGATTGTGAATATAGCCAAACATATCAATCTTCCTCCTTTTGGCTTGTGGTTTCTGAATCATGTTTCAAAACCCTTCTCTATTATTAGTTTAGAAAGATATTCCCCTAAGTTATTCTAAAAGTTTAAAATTCTGCTCTGTACATTTACAAATAAAATTCATTTTGCCAGTATGGTATGTAGTACAGAAAATCAATTGATCCACATCATTTATTTAATCACCGATGCTTTCTCCTTTGCCACTTCCATTGTATATCTAGGTTTTTATGTGCATATTATAGGCTATTTTTTAAGTTCTACTTGTCATACATCCCAGAACAAATACTGTTTTAATTACTATACCTTAAAACTTTTTAGCTACTTGTAAATAATTACCTTTACTTTGTTATTATTATCATTGAAAATTTTTCTTGCTATTCTTTATTTTTACTTGGTATGAATTTTAGAATTGACATAAAATTTCACAAAATAACCATAGGAATATTGATTGGGAATGCATTAAATTTATGGGATAATTTGAACAAACTTGTTATCATTAAAATATTTTGTCTTTCCATCCACCCAGTTGGAATATCTTTTCATATATTTATGTTTTTTAAATGTCTCTCTATAATGTTTTATTTTATAAAGGAGAATGGTATTTTTAGAATTATTCTTAAATGCATTTTAAGTTTCATTGCTACTGTGAATGTTATTTTTTTCTCTTACATGACCTATATATTTAATAACAGTATAGAAATACTAATGATTTATGTTTGCAAAACTTGGCACACTCTTTTGTTAGCTTTACTTATTTGTATACTGCTTCCCTAATATTTTCTTGGTAAACAATTATATCAACTGAAAACAATTTGTCATCTTTTCCAATGATTGATTACACAGTTTCTTCCTTCTCACTTATTATTGCAAGAGCTAGGACTTCGATACGAGGTGTTCACTAGAAATGGTGAAAGTGAATCTTCATTATGTTTCTCAAGATTTTTACGGGGTTGCTTTTGAAGTTTAATGCTTACAGTATTAAAGGACGTTTTGCGATCCCGCGCGGCGGCTGGCCGGTGGGTGGCGCTGGCGGGCGGGCGATAGGCCAGGCGGAGACTCACGCAGCTGGACGCCACAGGTCTGGAGAACATTCTGTAGGGGGCGGTGACATGCACCAAGCAGGAGAATGGAGTGAAGTTCTTGGTCACTCCAGCTGGCTAAATAATCCTACAGTTAACGCGGGTTAATCCTGGTATTCACAGTTGCTGGACTGAGGCAGGAGTCTCCCCCGCGGGGTCCAGCAGGTGGCGCCGCGCGGGCGGGAGTGTGCGCCTGCGCAGTTTGGCCCTGCGAGACTGGAGCAGCGCAGGCTGCCGCCATGATGAAGTTGTGAGTGGCCGGGGTCCGTTGCGTGGTGGCCATGTTCTTCCTTATGCTGCCTGGCTCTGTGCAACCTGTGGAGATCATGGAGACAGATTTCCAAGAGGCCCATTGCTTGGAAAAGATGCGAAAAAGATCCTTTCACTCTGCAACACCATTGGAGGCCGGGGCTTCCGGGCCACGTGCTTCAGCGCTCTGCTGCCTGCCCCTCGAAGTAAAAGGAGGTTCCCGGGGGGCAGTAGCAGCCCTCGGGCCTTATGGCCAAGGGGCTCTGATGCGTTTTCAACACTGATTCCAAGTTCAGTGGGGGGCCTTGACTTATTAAGGGTGATAGGAAGTAGAAAACGAGTTTGCTGTGCGTGAGGAGGAAGCGCTGTGGCCAGTGAGTGTTCCGGAGCAGGCTTCGGAAGTTGGAAGAAAAGGCAGGTGGCGGCAGGTGGGTGAGACATGCTCTTTGTTGTGGGGGGATGCAGAAGCCACAAAAAGGCATAGCTGACTACATGGCGAGCTGATATATGTGGCTCTGAACAATAGTGGCAACATGCCATGGGAAAGCACGATCACATTGATTCACACAGGAGATAGCACCCTGGTTACATAAGTGTGCTGACTCAGGCCTCCCCAGAAGGCCTGCTAGCCATGGGGGCAGGGCTGGAAAAAACACTGTGGCAGTCATCTTAGTTTGGCCTAAGAAACCTGTTGCCTATACAAATACATTTCCCCTTACACTGTGTGATTAGAAATTGGTTGCTTTCCGTCTCTGCACCTTACTTGGTAAACAAGGGGTTTGGCCTAGACCTGGGATACCCAACTGGTGGGCTTGTTGGTCATCCCCTGATAAATGTTCAGACCAGACCAACCCCACCCCAGGTGGCACACGCTCTGTCCTGAAGCTGGAAAGTGTGGCTTCCCTTCAGTTCTCATGTTAGTCAACTATTGCTGCTTAACAGAATACGACAAATATAGTATCTTATGAGACGTTTATTATCTCACCATTTCTGTGGGGCAGGTGCCAGGGCACTGCTTCAGGGTTTCACAGGGCAGCAGTTGGGCATGTCGTAGGCTGTGATCTTATCTCAGTGTTCCACTAGGGATGGGTCAGCTTCCAAGCTCTTGTGATTGTAGGACAGATTCAGTTCCTTGCTGGTTTTCAGACCACGGGCCTCCATTTCTCATGGTTGTTGGCTAGGGACAGCCCTCAGGGCCTTGCTGTGGGCCTCCCCAGTGTGGCCAGTCACTTCATCTGCAAGTAGAGAAGACAGTAGAGCCTTCCCGCAAGAGAGAAGTTACAGTTGTATACCATAGTAATGGAAGTAGTATCCCTTTACTTTTGCCCTAGTATTCTGCTAGTTAGAAGCAAGTTCCAGGTCCCTCCCACACTCAACGAGTGAGGACCCTGCAGGTCTTGGAGTCTGTCCCAATTCCTAAAATGACCCATTCCTTCACCTCTCCAACATCAGGAGCCCTTGTAGGGCCACAGCTTGACTGGCCCTTGCCATGCTTGCTGCTGGACCTCAAGTGACTTGCTTCCTTTCTCTGGGCCGATGCAAGATATGATGGTTGAGTATGTGTTGGGCTACATGCTTGGTGGAGATGCGAGGACCTCCTGTTCTTCCCCCACCCCACAAAAGTACAGTAGCCCTAGCTTTACCTGCCCTGTACTCTGTTTTTCCTCATGCTGGGTTCCCACAAAGGAAGAGAAATGCCATTCTCTGGAATTTATTCCTTTGAGCCGTTAGTGTGGCAGGTGGAATTCCAGGATGGCCTCTATGCTTCCAGCCCCTCATGTATAGGCCCTAGACTGTTCCTTCTCCTTGAATGTAGGTGGGACTAGGACCATGATGGGGTGTCATTCCTGCAATTGTGTCATCCAGCAAAAAGTATTTTGCAGCTGTGATGATGACTACAAATTAGTTGACATGGAAGTAATCAAAAAGGAGAGAGTCTGGGAGGGCCTATTTTAATCAGATGAGCCTGTCACCCTCCTGCTGTCCTTGAAGAAGCAATAAGCCTTGGTGTATAAGGAGGGAGACATGAGGCAAGGATCCAAGGGGCCCCTGTAGATGCTGAGAGCTGTTTCCCATCAACAGTCAACAAGGACACAGAGACCTCTGCCTCAGGAAGTAGATTCTGTCAACCATCAGTGAGCTTGAAAGAGTACCCCCTGCCTTGGATGATGTTTCAGTCCTGACAATGTCTTGATTTCAGCCTTTGAAGACCCCTGAGCAGAGGACCCAGCCAACCCATGCCTGGATTTCTGACATTCAGAACATTTCTGACATTCAGATGATGCATTTGATTTGTTTTGTGCCATTGAGTCTGTGTTCATTTGTTACACAGCATCAAAAACTAACAATTGGAACCAACAAGGATGAAAATGTCAGTTGTGCCCTCCATGGTGATGCATACCTATAGTCCCAGCTACTCGGGAGGCTCAGCCAGGAGGATCACTTAAGCCCAGGAGTTCTAGACTATCCTGGGAAACATAGAAAAAAAATAAAAAATCTCTACATCATCTCTACAAAAAATAAAAAAATCTTAGTTGTATCTAAAAAGAAAAGCAAACACAAAAGCAAAAACAAAGAACAAAAAAGGAATTTTGGAGATCATGGTCTTTAGAAGAAGCTGAATTCTGATTTCTGATAAAGCCTCATTCTTGGATTTGTTCCCATACAGCTTGTATTGTGAACATTGTTGGTGTAAAGAGACTGGAAATGGTGATCTTACCAAGTGCAATTGGAAATAAATGTGTGGTTACTTTCAGTTGTGCTAAGAACCTGGCAACTGTTAAGCTGTCAAACTTCTAAAAAATTTAGAGTAGTTGATATTATAATAAAATTTTACATATGTAAAATTGGATGCTTGTAAGGTTGAGTGACTTGGCTGTGGGCATGTAAGTATTAATACAACAAACTTAGAGCCCTGTTCTCAATCCAAACCATGTTACTACATAGGCCAAAACCATACTTTGTACCACAAATATGTCTGCTACATAAATGACCTCCCCTTTGCTGTATAATGGTAAGTAATTAAAGGGGGATCCTTGTCTCCCCAAACTTGGCATCACTTTTCTTTCACGTTTTTTCCTCCAATCTCTTCTGTACGTCGGGGATAGATAAGTCCTACTCTCCCCAAAAATCAACTGATGGCAGGGATTTATGATAGTAAAGAGATGTAAAATTTCTTCATACTCTCCCCTTTTCCCCATCTTCTTATCCTGAAGGATATGTACAGATTAAAAGAAAATGGATAGTCTTGCTTTGCATCTAAATTATTCTTATAACTTACTGAACTAAAAATGCATTCCTTTCTCTAGGAGAGTGGTCTTTCCATCTTATGCCTTTCAATCCATTTCTCCATATTTAACTCCATAATTTCTACCTTTATCACATTCAATGTATCTGCCAAATTGGAATACTCAATTTTATGTAAATAATCCCTATAGTTAGCAATCTTGTCATCCTAATTCCCCCAACCCATGGAATATTTTAACCTTCCTTTTCTGCCTGTCAAAATATATCAATCTTACAAAATCTAGTGAAATTCTACTTTAAGAAAAATGTGCAATTCTCACATAACTTGACCCATAATTCCCTCCCTGCTCCCCACACTTAATTTGTAATTTGCCTAAATTTTCTATTTAATTTAACTGGGTGTTGATTATTGTGAGAGTTTATCCCTTTTTGCTATTGGGGAAAAGAACCCAACTCACATAGGGCAGCTCGTTCAGAACAACTACACCCAGGGTTTTTTATTTTTGTTTTTTAAAAAACAGCTTTGTTGAGATAATTCATATAACATAAAATTCACCCATTTAAAGTATATAATTCAATTTTTTTAGCATATTCCCAGAGTCATGTAATCATTATTACAATCTAATTTTAGAACATTTTATTACCCCAAAAAGGAAGCACTATACCTATTAGCAATCATTCTCCATCTCCCCAATCCCTAAGTCCTAGGCAACTACTAACCTACTTTATGTCTATGAATTTGCCCATTCTGGACATTTCATATAAATGATATCATACAATATGTGACTGGCTTCTTTCACTTAACATAATATCTTCAAGATTCATCCATGCTACAGCATGTGCCAGTACTTCATTCCTTTTTATTGCCAAATAATATACCACAATTTGTTTATCCATTTGTTGTTCATGGACATTTGTGTTGTTTCTACCTTTTGGCTATTGTAAATTGTTGCGTGAACATTTGTGTGCATATGCTTTCATTTTTCTTGTGTATGTACCAAAGATGGAATTGGCAGGTCATATAGTAACTGGATATTTAACATTCTGAGAAACTGCTAGAATGTTTTTCCAAAGGGGTTGCACAATTTTACAGTCCCACTAGCGATGTATTAGAGTTCCAGGTTCTCCTCCACCTTGTTAACGCTTGCGAGTTTTCTTTTTTTTTTAAGTCTTTCTAGTTGGTGTGAAATAGTATCTGATTGCTTTATTGGACTTTCAATAATGAATAAATGATATTGTGCATATTTTCATGTGGTATTGGCAATTTGCATATCTATTTTAGAGATATATCTGTTCATATATTTGCCCTTTTATTGGGTTATTTTTCTTTTTATTATTGAAGTATTTATTATTGAGTTTTATTATATATGTTCTGGATAGATACCCCTTATTAAATATATAATTTGCAACAATTTTCTTTTATTATGTGGGTTGTCTTAATTTTTTTTATTGTGTCCTTTAATGCTCAGAATTATATAATTTTATAAAGTGCAATTTATCTATTTTGTTTGTCACTTGTGGTTTTGCTTTCAAATCTAAGAAACCAGTAGTTAACCTCAGGTAGCAAAGATTTACTCCATTGTTTCCTTCAAAGATTTTAAAAATAGTTTATCTCTTACATTTATGTGTATGACCTATATTGAGTTCATTTGTATGTGTTTTTTAAGAGTCTAATTTCATTTTTTGCATGTATTCAATTATCCTATTATCATTTGTTAAAAACACTCTTTTTTCTACATTGAACTGTTTTGACATCATTACAAAAATCAATTCGCTGTAAATGAAAGAGTTTATTTCTGGACTTTTAATTCTATTCCACTGATTTATATATTTGTTCTTATGCTAGTACCACACTGTTTTAAACACTATAGCTTTGTAGTAGGGTTTTAAATTACAAAGTGTCAGTCTAGCAACACTGTTCTTTTTTAAGAATGTTTTGGCTATTCTGAGTCCCTTGCATTTTTGTATAATTTTAAGATCAGCTTGTAAATTTCTTAAAAAAAGAAAAGTCAGCTATAATTTTGATAAGAATTATGTTGAATCTGGATATCAATTAGGGGAATGTTGCCATTTTAACAATGGTAAGTTTTCTAATTCAAGAAAGTGTGATGATTTTTCATTTATTTAGATCTTTAATTTCAACAATGTTTTATAGTTTTCAGTGTACACGGATTTTTTGTTT